GGACCCAGGACATTGGGCCTGTGATGGTGAAGGAGAGCTGTGATTCCAGACGTGAGTCCCATGTCTAACAATGAGGCTGTGTCCTGCACCACAGCCCTGGGGCACAATGACCCTTGCTAGAGTATGGGCCAGCCAGAGGCATCCCACCAAAGCCAACAGCACTGAGTGATTTAGGTGTTTATTATTCACTCTGCCATGTGTACAGTCAGGGGACTCTCTGGGTAGACAGTTGGGGTGTGGAGGAATGGGGGGGTCAGCAGGCAGTGTGCAGCTGAAGGAGAGAAAAACAGTGGGTTTAGCCCAAGGGACAGACTATAGGGCAAGAGCCCACTGCTGGGAGTTTTCCAGGATGCCAGGCTAAGGTAGGGCAGCCTGTCTGGGTGGTAGGGGAGGCAGATGAGGGTGCAGGGTGAGTTGACTTGCATATGACTTGATGTGTCAGGGATACTGGAGAACCTACTGCTTCTCATGCTATCTTCACAGCCCTGATGTTGGGCAGCCATGGGTCTCCCACTTCCCCTTGACCACTCACCCTCTTTACTACTCTCATTCATCCTCCTACCCATGGTCCTGGAGCTCCCAGACAGCTTGATGCACAGGAAATAAAGTCAGAGAGAACATCGAGAGTTCTTCATGGGAGAGAGGGAAAGGAAGAGTTCATCAGGAACACTGGCAGTGTCCCTATTTACCCTTTGCGTGCAGCCCAAGTGGAAGGACTGGCAGAGTCATGGGAGTTCTCAGTAAGAAGGCTCTTGGGGCAAGGGGAAGCCATGGTGGAGAAGGAAGGACCAGATAGGAGGCCCAGCTTCCCTGAGGCATGGTCTGCCCTGCTTGTGCCTCAGTTTCCTCATCTGCCACATTGACTTTAGCAAACATCTCTTTTTGTGTTTGGATCTGTCTCCCTAACTAGGCCAGAAAGCTTGAGAACAGGGGATGGGTGTTCCTGATACCAAGGTTTCCAGCCCGTGGGGCATAAGAGCTGGCTCAACATAGGTGCCTAGGATATGTATGCTGAAGTGAGATCTGGCAGGATCCAGATGAGCGAGACTCTGTCCCTGCTATAGGGCCTCCAGAACTAGAAGAGATTGATGCCAGACACAGTGTTCCTGGCTTGGGGTAGTCAGGAATGTGAGGGGAGATGTGAGGCTTGAGGACACTGAGAGGAGGAAGATACTAATGGCCTGGGGGTGGGGGCTGTGAGAGGACTTCATAGTGGAGGTTTCCTGTGAACCCATGTCTTAAAGATGAGCTGCAGTTCATTGGTAGAAGAGGAAGACACCATTAATGGGAAGCAGGAACATTATGCATAAAGGCCTGGAGGTTGGAATAAGCTTATTCTTCTTATTCAGAAGGGCTCACCGAGAGGATGGTGTGTTGCTGGGATTGGCGGGTGGCTAGAAATTTTCCAAGTAGACAAGGTAGGGGGTGGAAGGTGAACTATCTAAGCAGAAGGAAGAGCATGTGTGAGGCCAAAGGGGGCAGGAAATGGTCTGGCATGTCTTGGGAACAGGTATTGGTAAGGAGTGGAGAGGTGAGAATGGTACCTGCAAAGCCAAGCCAAAGCCAAGCTGAGGGGATGGACGTTCTCCCGAGGGTATGGGAGCCATGGAAGGCTACTAATGGAGAAATCTGATCCATTTATCTTTCCTTTTGACTAATATTGGCAAACACACTCACACACATGCACCACACACCCTTCTCATCCCACCCAAAAGTGCATAAACTACACAAGCCACACATATGCCACCTAGCACACAGCTATTATGCTGCAAATAAGTGTTCTTAACTTATACCCACATCCCGCCATCGTTCAACACTGGAGCCAGATCTTAGAGGATGTTTTCCCTTCCTTGGTTAAGTTCAGTTCAGCAGTTAGAGAGCCTCACCAAGACTGTGGGAGATAGAAAGGCTGACTTCTCAGCTGGCTCTTCATTTCCATCCCGGGGAACTCACAGACACACCATCCCTACGGGCTCATCAAGACCACCAAAGATGAAAAAAGCCCAGAGGTACCCCAAAACAGGGCAAAGTCATTGGGACTATCCCTGTGCATGGAGAGTCAACAGCTGGGGCAGGACTGAACCCTTCAACAAAGCTGAATGAATCCTTTGAGCTCCTAATAGATAGTTTAGATTTTTTTTTTTTATTAAATCATAACTGTGTACACTTATGGGGTATGATGTGCTGATTTGATGTACAATGTGGAATGCTTACATCAAACTGATTAGCATAACCCATCTCCTCACTTACTTATTTGTTGTGGTAAGACATTTATACTCTACTCTTAATAGTTTTGAAATGTACCATTGCATTGTGCACAACAGGTGAGGTCCTACCAAATACCCTCCTTCCTTCTGGCCTCCCCCCTCCCCTCCCCTCCCCCTCCTCTTCCCTTCTTCTTTCTGGACTATAGTTGTGTCTTATCATTCAAATGAATATGTAGGTGATTATATATTGGTTTCATAACACTATTGAGTATATTGGATACTCCCTCGCCATTCTTGAGATATTTTACTAAAAAGAATATGTTCCAGTTCCATCCATGTAAACATAAAAGATGTAAAGTCTCCATCATTTTTTATGGCTTCAATAATATTCCATGGTATACATATATTACAATTTTTTAATCCATTCATGGGTTGATGGGCACTTGGGCTGCTTTCATGACTTGGTAATTATGAATTGGGCTGCAATAAACATTCAGGTGCAGACGTCTTTGTTGTAAAATGATTTTTGATCATCTGGGTATATACCTAGTAGAGGAATTACAGGATTGAATGGTAGGTCTACTTTTAGTTCCTTGAGTATTCTCCAAACTTCTTTCCAAAAGGGCTATATTAGCTTGCATTCCCACCAGCAGTGTAGAAGTGTTCCCTTCTTTCCACTGCCATGCTAACATCTGTAGTTTTGAGATTTTGTGATGTGGGCTAATCTTACTGGAGTTAGATGATATCTCAAAGTGGTTTTTATTTGCATTTCTCTGATGATTAAAGATGATGAGCATTTTTTCATGTGTTTGTAGGCCATACACCTGTCTTCTCCAGGGAAGTTTGTGTTCAAGTCTCTTGCCCACAAATAAACAGGGTTATTTGTTCTTTTCTTATTGATTGGTTTGAGTTCTCTGTGGATTCTAGTTATCAGACCTTTGTCAGAAACACAACCTGAAAATATATTCTGCCATTCTAAAGGCTGTCTGTTTGCTTTGCTTACTGTGCTCTTGGCTGTGCAGAAGCTTTTCAGTTTGATTAGATCCCAGTAATACATTTTTGGTGTTGCTTCAATTGCCAGGTGAGGTCCTTCTCATAAAATATTTTCCCAGGCCAATTTCTTCAAGTGTTTTCCCTGCACTCTCTTCCAGTATTTTTATAGTTTCATGTCTTAAATTTAAATCTTTTAACTAGTAAGAATCAATTTTTATTAATAGGGAAGGTGAGGATCCAGTTTCAGTCTTATACAGGTCACCGGCCAGTTCACCCAAAACCATTTGTTAAATAGGGAATCTTCCCCTCAATGAATGTTTTTGATAGGTTTATCAAAGATCAAATGACAGTAAGTGGCTGGGTTCATCTTTTGTTCTCTATTCTGTTCCATATATCTACTTCTCTATTTTTGTGCCAGTACCATGCTGTTTTGATCTCTATAAATTTATAGTAGAGCCTGAAGTCTGGTAATATGATACCTCCTGATTTGTTTTTATTTCTGAGTAATGTATTGGCTTTACAAGCTTTTTTCTGATTTCATATAAAATGAAGTACTATTTCTTTCAAGATCTTTAAAGTATAAAATTAGTGCTTTAATAAAGATTGCATTAAATCTGTAGATAGCTTTGGGTAGTGTGGACATTTTAACAATGTTGATTTTTCCTAGACATGAGCATGATATGTTTTTCCATTTTTTAACATATTCAGCTATTTCTTTTCTCAGAGTTTCATAATTTTCTTTATAGAGATCTTTCACGTCCTTTGTTAGGTAAATTCCCAGATATTTCATCTTCTTGGGCAGAACTGTAAAAGGAATAGAGTCCTTGACTATATTTTCAGCTTGTCTATTGTTGGTATATATAAAAGCTATTGATTTTTAAGTCCTAATTTTGTATCCTGAGATGCTGCTGTATTCCTTGATCACTTCTAAGAGTTTTGTAGTAGCGTCCCTAGGGTTTTCCAGGTATAAGATCATATCATCCGACTTGGCGCCTGTAGCTCAGCAGCTAGGGAGCCAGCCACATACACCAGAGTTAGTGGGTTTGAATCCAGCCCAGGCCAGCCAAACAACAATGACAACTGCAATCAAAAAATAGCTGTGCATTGTGGCAGGTGCCTGTAGTCCCAGCCACGATGCCCAGCTTGCAAGGCTGAGGTGAGAGAATCACTTAAGCCCAAGAGTTTGAGGTTGCTGTGAGCTGTGACACCATAGCACTCTACCGAGGGCAACATCTTAAGATTCTGTCTAAAATTAAAAAAAAAATCATATCATCCTCAAAGAATAAGAGTTTAATCTCCTCTGACCCCATTTGATACCCTTGATTGCCTTCTCTTGTCTGATTGCCATGGCTAAGAGTTCCATTACTATGTTGAATAGCAGTGGAGGCGATGGGCATCCTTGTCTAGTTCCAGATCTGAGTGGAAATGTTTTCAATTTTATTCCATTCAATATAATATTAGCTGTGGACTTGCTGTACATGGCCTCTATCAATTTAAGAAATGTCCTGTCTAAGCTTACTTTCTTAAGTGTTCTGAATGAGAAAGGATGCTGAATATTATCAAAACCTTTTTCTGCTTCAGGGTAGCTGGCTTGCTTGCCCTGCTGGGATGAAACTGGTTTTTCCCTCCCTTTTCTAAATACGTTATTGCCCCATTTGTTAGCAATCCCTACCCTAAGTTCACCCAGCCTTTTCCTCTATACAATCTTCCTGGGGACCTGGGATTCTTTTAACCCTGTCTTTTGGCATCTTTCCATTTTGCATATATACTTTGTGTTAGAAATCAATAAAAGCCTTCTGAAGAAGCCAGAGAATTGCTGCATTGTCCCAATCTGCCACTCTCCAGGCATTCTCAGATTGTATGTCTTAAGCTTGTGTAGATTGTTGAGAAAGCAATGTTTCTACTGTTGGCTCTCAACCCAGGTCAGGAGACTCCCACACAAGACCAGGCATCAGAAGCCAAGATGAGGGTGGTCACAAGAATTCGGGGAGTGAGTGGAGTGGGAGGGACTCCATGAGAAGTCTCCCAGACTCCCAAGGGTCAGCAGGGACAAAGTAGCTGAAGATAGTCTTCAACACCTGTCTTCCCCACCACCCAGAGAGCTCTTGAGCTGTGGGGTGGAGAGGGCTGCTCTCCTAGAGCACTTGGGGCAGCAGCCCATTTTGAAGAATGAAGGTGTTGGAATGGGGATGCCCTTGACTGCCCACCTGAGGAACTGGGCAGTGGCTCCAGTGAGAAAAGGTCAGCACCCAACAGTTAAGAGCCTGGAGTAGGAATCTGGGAGATGTGGGTTCATAAGTCCCCATTCTGCCACTGGACTGGGTTTTGAGTATTGACATCATCTGAATATCAAAAGTCTCACTGAGCCTCCCTGAACTTGAAGAAGGAGGTGGAGGCTGCAGACATGGATGGGGCAGATGCAAAGGTCCTGAGGTGGGCATATACTGGTAGTGTATTCCCTAGGAATCCTGCCTGAGGCCTTCAGGGGCAGCTGAGGCCTCGCTCTGTCCAGCCCTTGAGTTTTCTTCACTTTGGGCTCCTATGGTGGCCCATTTTGGGCAACCTGTGCCCTCACACCCAGCCCACTCCCTTTCTTGTGCCTTCTGAGAGCTGTTCTACCTTCCTGGCGTACCCTTCTCTCCTGCACTCTGTCCCTAACATCTTGTTTTTCTAGAACCAGAGGACAGTGTGGGCAGAGCAGAGTGCCTGAGGTGATGGGCAGGATACCTGGATGGGGGCCAGTGGGAGGCCCCATCATACAGGGGCCCCTGGGTCATTTTAAGGAGTCAGAATTCTATTCTGAGTGGGCTGCTGACCTACTGAAATCTCCGGAGCAGAGGAGTGACGTGAACCGACCTACCTTTAGTGAACATCTCTCTGCCTATGGGTGGAGAAGAGGGTGGGCTGGGGGCAGTGCCAGGTACAGGGAGAGCCTTGGGAGGCAGGAGCCAGCCAATGGGCTTGGACCCAGCTAGAAGCAACAGAGCTGGTGACAAGTGGTCGGGTTCTAGAGATATTTTGCAGCTTAAGGCAGAAGAATTTCCTGAGGGACACAACATGAGGTGAGAGAGAGAGAATTGTGAAGGATGGCAGCAGTGCTTCCAGCTTGAGCAACTGGAAGAAAGGAGCCATCATTGACCAAGATGGGAAGTCAGGGCAGGAGGTGAAAAGGGCAAGGATGAGGCCTGGGAGAGGAGAGCAGGAGCCACAGTTTTGTCATCTGTGAAGTGGGGAGATGAGAAGCCCTCCTTGTCGGGGCTGCTGTGAAGGTTACAGGTGTTGATGGACATGGAGTCCTCAGCTGAGGAGTTTCTGTATGCTGGGACATGTCACTGCTGATCTGCAATAGCCTTGAGAAAGGCTGAGGCTGTGGTTTTCTCCCAGACTCCCAAGGGTCACCAGGGACAAGGTAGCTGAAGATAGTCTTCAATATCTGTCTTCCCCACCACCCAGCCCAACCGCAACCAGAATGCCTCGTTCCAATCCAACTCTGCCACTTAACCAGTTGTGTGACAATGGGCAGCCATTTAACAATGAGGATGGGCTCAGCGCCTGTGGCTCAAGTGGCTAAGGCGCCAGCCACATACACCTAAGGTGGCGGGTTTGAATCCAGCCCGGGCCTGCCAAACAACAATGACGGCTGCAACCCCAAAAAAAAAAAAAAAAAAATAGCTGGGCATTGTGGCAGGCACCTGTGGTCCCAGCTACTTGGGAGGTTGAGGCAGGAGACTCGCTTGAGCCCAGGAGGAGGCTTGCTGTGAGCTGTGATGCCACAGCACTTTACCCATGGGGACAGCTTGAGGTTCTGTCTCAAAAAAAAAAAAAAAACAATGAGGATGAATGATGTTTTTTGGGGGGGAGGGACAGTCTCACTCTGTGCCCTGGGTAGAGTGCTGTGACACGATAGCTCACAGCAATCTCCAACTCTTGGTCTGACATCCTCTTGCTTTAGCCTTCCAAGTAGCTGAGACTACAGGCACCCTCCAGGATGCCCAGCTAGGTTTTCTGTTTTTAGTAGAGACAGGGTCTCATTCTTGCTCAGGCTGGTCTTAAACTCTTGAGCTCAAGTAATCTGCCTGCTTATGCCTCTCGGAGTGCTGGGATCACATGCGTGAGCCACTGCCTAGCCAACAATGAGGATGATGATAATAGAAACACCACCTACTTCGTGCGTTGCCGTGAGCAAATGAGGTGATTTAGATAACCTTGAGCAGCTTACAGGGGTTCCAACAGATCAGTACATGCCAGGCATTGAGCCTTTCTGTTTGGAAAACTAGGTTTCTCAATGAAAAGCAACTTGGTCTTGGGCTGCCTTCCTTATCATCCCCATGAGAACCCTCTCCCACCTGCAGGGAGAGGCAGGCTTCCTCAAGGGCCCCTGGGAGGAGGGCCCTGCAGTGTTCGAGCAGAAACAGAGCGAACAGTGCAGGTGGGGTTCAGACTTCCAAGTCCATTCTATGTCTGAGATGGAGGGAGTCTGTGGCTAGGCCACCTGGAACGTGACTCAGAGTGTGATCCGCTTTCCTAGCATGGAACCTGGAGGGACAGGCCTGTTCCTGCTGACACAGACCATAATGATTTCCCCTCCCCAGGTACTCTGATCTGTCACAAGGGAATCAGCTTCCACATGACGGGCAACTTGACTTACACACCCGTCGACTGGACCTCAGACTTCACGAAGACATGTGATGCCGGGCAGCTGTGTCAGGAGACGATGCTACTCATAGACGTAGGTGTGTGGCTGGGTGGGAGGACCATACACCTACACCGTGCCCCCTGCAGTTCCACCCTGGATCCTGTCCCCTGAATTTCCTGCTCTGTTCCCCTCAGGCGTGGAGTTCTTATTCCAACTCTTCCTCTCTCTGTGCCTTGGTTTCCCCTAATGAGAACCGAGGGTGAAGCTATGGCAGTGACAGTGTCTACTGTGCTGGGCAGTTGTGCAGATAAGCGTGGTGACCACGGCAAGAGCTAAAGGACCTCAGGGACTCATACACTCAAGAAATGTTTTCAAGTACCTGTTTTAGGCACTGCAGAGCCAAAAGCATCTGCTTTCCGGCAGCTTTACATGCCTCAGGAACCAGGAGAAAAAACCCAATGAGAGCAGAATATGAGTATGGAGAGAGTTCTGGAGAGAAATCCAGCAGTGAAAAGGAGAGAGGGAAGTTGAGGTTAAAGCTGCAATTTTAAGATGAGCGCTGGCCAGGTGTGGTGGCTCCCACCGGTAATACTAGCTCTATGGGAGGCCGAGTGGATTGCTTGAGCTTGAGAATTCAAGACCAGTCTGAGCAACAGTGAGACCCCATCTCTAAAAAATTAGCCAAGTGTTGTGTGGTCGCCTGTAATCCCAGCTACTCAGAAGGCTGAGGTAAGAAATTTGCTTAAGCCCAAGAATTTGATGTTGCTGTGAGCTATGACACCATAGCACTCTACCCAGGGTTAAAGAGTACCCCTCCAAAAAATAAATTAAATTAAATTAAAAAATAAGATGAGTGCTCAGGGGAGACTCATGGTGAAGGGGACGTTTTAGCAAGAGTTGGGAGGGGGCAGAGCTGTGGGGAGGACTGTGCATGAAGCATGACCACCCTGTGCTTCTGTGGTGAGGGGACCTGTATCCACAGTGTGCCTGGCAGCATGTGGAATTCAGGAATCCTACTCTGATCCCTGCTCCCCTCAGAGCCACCCTCCCTGGACCAGCTTTTCCTCTCTTACTCCCTCAGGACTTAAATCACTCCTACTCTGGACCAAAGGCTGCAGCCAGGGTGAGGCTCCAGACTCCCAGACCACCTCCATGCATGCAGGCCCCATTGGGGTGCTCGTGGCCTCCTATACCCACTTCTGCTCCTCTGACCTGTGCAATGGAGCTAGCAGCAGCAGCATCCTGCTGAAGTCTCTCCCTCGTCCAGGTATAGTGTCCAGGGACATGGAGAGACACACATGCTCGAGGCGGGTGGCTGCAGCGCAGAGCAGAGCTGTGTGCCCCCAACCTTCTCTCTATTCTCCAGCTGCTCCTGCGCCAGGAGACCTGCACTGTTCTAGCTGTGTGCAACTGACCTCTGGATCCTGCTCTGATTACTCTCCCACCATTGTGTGCCCTAAGGGCACTACTCATTGTTACAATGGCAACATTCATATCCAAGGAGGTGAGTTCTGAAAGCTAGATCCCAAGGAGGAAGGGGTAGGATGCCTGAATTCATTGATCCTGAGGTGGGAGGGGACGGAGTCCTGGCCCTGGGATCTGAAGGAGGAGGGATTTGGGGAAGATGGACTGGACCTGGACCCCCGGGTCTGAGGGAGGAGGAGCTGGGGTTGCACTTCTGGGTCTGAGGGAGGAGGCTGGGTTGCACATGTGGCTGTGCTGGATTTGGTGTCCTCTCTGACTTGGTCTTCTCCCTTTAGGTGGGTTGACTACCCCTGTGGCTGTTGCGGGCTGCGTGGCCCAACCTTCCACCTCCTTGTTAAACCACAGCAAGAATATCGGGATCTTTTCTGTGCATGAGGATGGACTGTTCCCTGTTCCCCCAACTGGAGCTGCCCCTGCCACCTTCCTCACTCAGGTGATGGGGTTGGGCCTAGCCCTGGCCCTTTGGTGTGGGGGACTTTGCCTTTTCGGCTAATGGCATTCCTCCATGACTCTTAACGCCTGCTGACCACCCAAGCCCAACCCTGTCTCTGAACTCACAAGCTAATGGTCTCGGACAACAAATTATTTTCCCATCCTTTTCATGACATACCACCCCTCCAAACATATGTTATCACCTGATGATAATGTACCACCTGGGAGCAGCTGAATTTGCCCTATAGGAGAGGGGACATTCAAAGAGTGACTGTGTGTATGTGATAATAAAGACCTGTCCTTTCTCCAGGCTGGGATTTCTCTCTGTGAGGGCAGGACAGGACAGGACTCTGGTGAGAAAATCATCACCCAAGGCCTGGCCTCCTTTGGTTTGATGCACATGTCCATTCTGGCTTAGGTGACAGCAGAGTCTTGAGGGTGCTGCAGCCAAAGGTATTTGTTGTCACCATGACCAACAAGGGAAGATGTGCTGAGACCAAGGAGGTTTCTGCCTTGGCAGTCAGGGCTCCAGCACACATTGCGGGGGTGGGGGGGTCACTTCATCTGAGAATGTGCAGGAGAGGAGGGTGCAGGCGTGTGTTGCTTAACCACAGGGACACATGCTGAGAAACCATCATTAGAAGATTTTGTCATTGTGTGAACATCACGGAGTATACCATGCAAACCCAAATGGTGCGGCTTTGACACACCTGGGCTACATGGTACAGCGATGGCTACCGGGCTGCAAACTGTACAGATGTTACTGCGCTGGATACTATAGGCAACATGCACAATGGTGAGTATGTGTGTTGGTAAACATGTCTAACCTAGAAAAGGCACAGTTAGATTATGGCTATTATAATCCTGTGGGACCATCATTGTGTATGCAGCCCATTGTTGGCTGAAAAACAGGTGCTATATGGCATGACAATAATGGGATAATTGACATAAGGTCTAGAGAGAAATCAAGAACAAAAGGGTTAGCACCATTTCTCAGGCCGGTTACCACCCTAGACATGAAAGGGGGTGGAGAAGGAGCCACTGCTGGAACCTGCAGAGAGAGACATTCAGAGAAGTTTGCCCAGCAGCTCTGATCTCAGGCTGAAAAATGCATCCAGCCACAGTGACAGTGTGGGTAGGGAGCTGGGAAAGTGACGTTCCAGTCTCACTCAGTGTCCTCCCTAGTCTCCTGTAGGAGCTCCCACTGGTTAGACACAACTGGCAGCAGAAGCAGGAGCTGCCATTGATCCAGGCCCCACTGACCTGCACTCACAGCACACAGCATGCGGATAGCGGAGGAAACACACCTGAAAGGGGAGGAAAGTGCCCAGCACAGTTCACCCTGTCCCCTAGGCAGCAGCCTTATCCCTTGTGCAGCTGGACATCAGAGTCCTCACCTGTCACTCAGTCACGGTAACCCTGCAGTGGTGACAGTACAGCCCTCTTCTCTGTGTGTTGTACTGCCTGTTCTTACACAGCAAGAGGAAGATGAGGGAGGAGATGACTTCACAGAGAGCTGCCAGGATCCTGGGTACAGAGTTTGGAGCACTCAGTGCTGTCCCCATCCAGTATCCCTCCCATAGCCCCACCACCTCCAATGCCTCATTTGGACAGTGTTGGCACCTACGTGGGGCCAAACCTTCATCCCTACAGGGAGCGAGTTTTGGATGAGCCTTGAGTGGTCTGGTCTTTACTGATCAGTTTCCCACTGGATAGGGCCCTGGCCAGAGAGAGACTACCCACAGTGAGTTGCCTTCTTCCAAACCTGGCCTCCTTGTCCCAGCAGCCCAACCTCCCCTGATAGTCAGGTTTGGTCACGCTGCTCCATGGGGTGACCCTCTTCCCTACCTGATGTTTCAACAGCACAAAGAACACAAAATGGTCAGTGGGCAGTCATGGCGTTCTGGTTAGAGCTATGAAGGGTTTCCTCACCTACACACCCAAGGTCACAGGGACAAGGAATAAACGTTCTCTCAGTGGGTTGGTAAGTGTAATAGTGGAAGGGACAGTCCTTATTCTTCCTTTATTTCCTGGGTCCATGCATCTAGCCATGGGGGAAGTGACACGATGGATTGGCCCTTGGTTTAAGATGCAAGGCATTCCCTGGTGGATATCAAGGTGTGATCTCTCCCTGGTATCCTGATAAGCCACTCACGGGCCATTGTATCATTCTGAGAAGCCAGCCATCACCATGCACAGGGGCACCTGGGAAGGTGGGTTCCCTGGGTGTGAACTAATCACCTCACTTTCTTTGCCTTAAAATATGTCCTTTAGTTGGAAGCAAGACTGCATGGGACACCACAACTCCAGAAAAGGCCTCTCTCACTCCCAGAATGGAGTGTTCACAGAAGCACTAAGCACAGGGAAGGCTGCTGGAACCCACAGTCGGTGTCTGTCCCTATGAGGATAAAGTTCTGTCCCCTTCGTGAAGGGATATGTCCTGTGTATGGGATATGTTCTGTGCCCTTTGTGAAGGGATCTGTCCTGTGATATGCCCTTATGACCAGTTAGTTCTGTTGTAAAGTGACAACTTTCTGGGGGCTTAGCACTGACCTCTGCCTGAAATGGGCTTGGTACTGGGTGCAGTCCACAGCCAGAGCAGCTAAGGAAGACTTCACCCATTCATTGTAGTGTACAGGGCTCCACACAGCCATTCTGCACCTGGGCCCACTGAACAGGATCAGATGGGAGTGGGGGAGTAGAAGCTGCCTGACACCACTAAATACAAGAGCCTCTTCTACAGAGCCTGTGCTCTCTAGGCATCAGCCTGGGATAGCTCACATCTGTGGCAATCCCCAGAGGACCATCTGCATATCCTCTGCATCGATTTTATACTTTTATTCTTTTCAAGTCCCGGACCATGTGGCCCACCCTGA